TGCACAGAGACATTTAATTAAAATTAAAAATAACTAAATAAATAAAAATAACACGAATAAATAAAAATAAAGTGCATAGAGAAGAATAAGGTGAAAAATATAAGAAGATCCTCTTATATTTTTGTTGATACCAACATATTCCCCATTTAGTTTTCGGCATAATGTCGCGTAATCGGGTATATTCTATTACTAGAAGTGCTATAGTTACGTAACATATACTATAGTGTTTCTAGTAATAGAGTGCACGGATGAAGAATCTGAACGCACCCCAGGTGGAAGTCCGCGCGACAGCCAATCAATATGTTGTTTTTCCGTAAGAGCTAGAAGGTTATTACGGAAAGCAGCATATTGATTGGTTGTCGCGCGAATTTCCGCCGCGCGGCAAGCATTACCGCGTCCTGTGTGCAGGAGCCATTATGGTTACTGTTACGAAAAGCGTGTGTGGCCAGCTTTACCGCGTCCTGTGTGCAGGAGCCATAAGAGGAACAACGCTAGGCAAAACAATTTGAAAATCGGTCAAAATGTGCCGCGTGTGCCGAACTCATGGTCCCTATTTTTGAAATGGTTGCTCTGTTCTTTTTAGCTGCACTACTAAATTAGTGCAATAGAGTGAGAAAAAGTATATTTGTTTCACTTTAACTTATTGGGGTATATCAGTTGGACACAGGGCAATTGGACACAGTCCAATTACAAGTCGCTGTTCCAAGGGACCCTACAAATGTCTCTAATCACACGGTGCTGTGATTGGTTGTGTCCAAGTACCCAACTTATTGCACTAGTTTAACAATGGCTGCGTTCGTTTTGGCGCTTATAACGCGTGTAAGCATCATTTGTCCTTTAGTATTTGATAGAAACAAGGATGAAATGATGCTCAGAGCATTGTAAGCGCCAAAACGAACGCAGCCAATGCAGCTAAAAAGAACAGACCAAGGCCGCATTCCGTTTCACGTATACGCGCGTTAATCTACAGTTCATGTCACGTATATTGTAGGAAATGCGCGCATAATGCGTGAAACGGAACGCAACCCAAGTAAAGCCCATTCTACAATTGCGTAAGCGTAGTCGTGAACGTAAGAGTCAACCAATCCGAATGTTTTATTCACTGATTGCTTTACTCTGATTGGTTGTTGTAATCACTTACAACCACTTACATCCACGTTCACGCAATTGTAGAATGGGCTTAACTTGCGTATACGTAATGACCCTTGCACACTGAATGTGAAAACACTTTTCTCGCAGTAAGAAGCGACGCGGTAGCCAATCAACGTGCAATTTTTCCATAAGAGCTGGAAATTTATTGGCTCGCTTCTTGTCACGCGGCAGACATTTCCACGTTCTATGTACAAAAGCTCTTTTTGTTATTTCGAAGATTAATTGTATTATAAAATAGCTATGTGCAATGATGCTTAGAGTTGCATTCTTAAACATCCTTTTTGAGAAAATTTTATTCCATATTCTATAGTATATGTGACATGAACTATAAATATTGAATAAAGTTTTCCTTGAAAAAAAAAACATTTTGGAATATAACCCAAGAATAAAGGCCCTTCCATTAGACAAGACGGATACATTCTTAAATGCATAAAAAGGATGGACAATCTACCTGTTCGTAACTGTACACATTCTTGTATCGTGTGGATGAACCATAAACTCCAGCATGATCCGGCACATTGGCGTTGACAGATTATTATTGTATCACTAAAGGATCAAGAGGAACAGACAGAAAATTTTTAATTTATAATAGAAAACAAGAAATCTCATTCCCTAACATAAATCACAATTAGTCGCAGTGTCGTTAAAGTTGCGCAGCACAAACGAACGTGACATACATTCATTCGCCACACAAGACTCACGCATTTATTATGGCGATTACATGCTTCTAGTACGAACAGCTGATTCAGCAGATATTTCCCGCGTGGTGAACATAACGTACAATCGGGGAAAAGTGCGAACGGATCGATCGTGACGACAAGGAACGCCGTGGACGGTGCTGTTTTTGTTGACAGAAGATTCCACTCAAGAAAAATGCGTATTGACGTGTCCTAATGACGTAATTGGTCGAGACGGTTCGCACGTATGTCCACGTATGTATCGAGTGCGATCAATCGTGCGTTTCTTATGCAGCAGGATTTTAAGAAGTCGACGAGCGATAACGTCAAGATCACCGGTGTTGTAATGAGGCCGTGAAAAGTGTCATTTGTTCGTCGAGCAATGAAGTCGAACGTGGGTGTGCTGATTCTGCTGCTGTTCCTGACGTCGTGTTCCCGGTCCAATGCAGAATTGGAGAGTGCCGCGAAGAAGCGCGACATCGCGCAAAAGTCAAACTCCAACGAGGAGACAGAGGAGGATGTCACTAACGAGGAGATGGAAAGCGCTTTCGAGCAGCTGCGCGAACTCAGGGCGTTGCGGGAGACTATAATGAAGTTGGTACCAGTGGCGGATCCGCTTATGAATGAAAAAGTCGACAAGCACAGGAAAGAGGATGCAGAGGGTAAAGTGGACAGTGTCAGCAAGGAGAGTCTGGAGAGTTCAGGAACGAGAAATGTATGGATGAAAACTATGATAGCCCAGACAAAGGAAATGGATCCTTTGGACATAAACAGCAAGCAGTTGGATGAGGAAGATATGGAAGCTTGGGAGAATCATGAACAGTTCGAGACACTTGAGGAGGAGGTCCAAGAACCTCTGTCACCAGAACAACAAGCAGGTAAACTATAAAATATTTTGTTATGTTTTACTTGTAAGATATAACACATTAGAAAACAGTACATGCATTCAGCACTGGAACCGTTCACTGAGCGCTCAGTGAGCTCTTAAATATGGTTGATGTCACTCAGAAAAAAGACATGGTGATGGCAACTATGTGTATAGATGACAACTATAAGTTTTGTATATGGAATTAATAAATTCTATAATAAACTATTTTGTAATTGTTGCAACTATAAAACTGAACGTTTAAAAGAATCATACAGTTCTCATAATCATTTAGCATTAGTTGCAATAATCATAAAATTGTTTATTAATGTGGAGTTAAAAAAGATATATATATATATATGTATATATATATATAAACTTGTGTACAAAATTCTATATTAATTTTACATACAAAACAATTGTTCAAGTTTTGTATATAGAATTAGTGTAGAATTAATGTAGAATTTTATATATGATGTGTGTGCAGAATTTATATATATTTTTTCTTTTTAAATTCTATATTAATTCTATGTACAAAACTGCATGCTAATTTTATATATAGAATTAATATATATAGTATAACAAATATTTTATAGTAACTAATCCTTGATCCTAAATGATTATAAGATTCTCCTAAACATTCAGTTATAGTTGCAATATAATTATTAAACTATATATATTAGTTCTACATACAAAACTTGTATACTTTTCACCACCATATTTTTTCTTTTCAATGTATACTTCCAAGTTTGATTAAAATCTCAAAATATATAATCTAATTAGATCTAAAAGTTCACTGTGAGTGCTTAGTAAGCGGTTGCAGTACTGAGTGCATCCATTGTGTTTTCTTCCTGCTATAAATTGAAATGTTTTGCAGCTGAACAATTATTCAAGAATGCTCAAAATACTTTGAATGCAATGCGTGCCAACAAATCTGAGGGCTACGAATTGCTCATTGAAGCAGCACAGTTGGGCCATCGAGAAGCTAGATCTATGTTGGCATGGGCAAGATTGCTCGGGTCTCGTTTAGGTTCCACCTCTTTGAGAATATCTATTGATGATATACCCAGCATATTTGAAATATTCAAAGAACTTGCAGATTCAGGACTTCCGTCAGCTCATATGGTATATACATTGCATACGTGCCATCACCATATTGAATAATAGTAATAGTATTTATAAATAATCAAGTATTTCAAAATGAAATATCTAAATGCTATAGATAAATCTTCTATTTTCCAATCACTAAAACAATTACTTGAATATCTTACATATACATATCACAAATTGTAAGAAAATATTGCAAACTGTTTTTCAAGTACTATCCAATATTTTAAAAAGTAATTTTTGTTCATCATTTCATAAAAATTATTTCATGAAGAAAAGTTTCTATAAACATATGGTCTCAAAGGCCTTGTTTCAGGAATACAGATGTTGAAAATTCTATAAAATTGTTATTTATATTATATAATACCCAAACGAAATTTTTTTTTTCAAACTCGGTCTAACAAGACACGATAATATCTTAATTTTTATCTATAGTTGCCGTTTTGTTAGGAGTCAAAATAAACTTTAGGTAATATATTATCTTGAACTTGGATACTCGCCGTCGAAAATGTTTAGTATTTTTTTTTTTGTAAGTTTTTGGAACCTATCTGTCTTGTTCATTGAGGGAATTTATTTTCCAATAAAAGAACTCTCTAATTGGATAAAAAGAAAGACAGATAGGTTCCTTACAATAGGAAACTTACAAAAAACCAGACAACCTTTTCAACGGCGAGTGTACGTCAATGGGTCGAGTCAAAATATTTTGCCGATTATTATTATTTCATTTATTAAAAAATGTACTCTTGGTAAATTCCGATAAAACTATTTGAGATATATTTTAATGCGTTTAATTTTTTAAGTACAGAAATGCGCAATATACAGGATAGGGAAAAAAAGTCGGTACCTCTGAATAACTCGGAAAATGTAAGTTTTATAGAAAAATGTTTTAGACAAAAGTTATAAGGTTCAAAAAGATATATATAATGGTAATATTTATTTGACCTTGAGTGGCGCTGCTAAGGTCAGGTCGAAGTCAACTTTGTTTTTTTAAATAAAGATATGTATTTCTTATTACAGAATTTTATTCTACATAAAGAAACAAACTTTTGTTTGAAAAACTTTTTCATATGATTCTATTTTCTAAGATATTTACGGAAATATCTACAAAATTATTGGTTTCAATAATTTTTTACTCGAATTTTACCAATTTTACCAAAAAATAACAAAAGATAAAAATTATCTATTTTCTTCTCATACAGCTCTGGGAATTTCTTCAGAATTTTCTAATTAACTTTTAGTACTGCATTTTTTGCATTTTCTTGAAGTAATAAAACGTTTATATAAAATTCTGAAAAAATTCTCAGAGCTCTATAAGAAGAAAATCGATAATTTTTATATCTTGCTATTTTTTGATAAAGTTGAGAGAATACGATTTTTTAAAAAATACGATTAAAAAATTATTGAAACCAATAATTTTGTAGATATTTCTATAAGTACTTAGAAAATAGAGGTCGTTTTCAAACAAAAGTTGAAAAGTTAAAAAATGTTTTCAAAAGTTGTTTCTTTACGTAGAATAAAATTTCGTAATAAAAAACATGTTTCTATTTAAAAAAGCAAAGTTAATCTCGACTTGACCTTGGCGGTGCCACCCAAGGTCAAACTGATAAGATCAAACTGATAAGATTAACTGATACATTACTTTATATATTGCAACTTTTGTCTGAAATATTTTTCTCAAAAGTAAATACTTTCCGAGATATTCAGCCGGTCCGGGACATATGGGACATATGTGTATATGTGTGTGTGTGTATGTGTACACACACATATATATATTATAAATTTAAATTTTATCTTCAATATATTCTTTTATATATTCTTTTGCTTTTTGTGTTTAATAGTTTTATTAAGAAAAATTATAAAAATAATTTTATAGAATTTTTAATACTGTGTATCTTTGAGATCTTATATTTATTAAAATTTTTTTTTCATACAATAAATCAAATTCTAAAATATTGAACAAAACTCCAGAAACATTCTGCATATATACTGTTTATTTTAAATATATACCATTTATATATTATTGTTTATAGATTAGATATTGTGCAGCTCAAATAGAAACTGGTAGTAATAAGAATTTTGTAAATACTTGTTTTCTTATATGCACTTCTAATAGTAAGCATCGAGAAGAATTAAGTAAAACATTGTATTCACGCAGGGAATGGGATTTTTATACGCGACCGGTATTGGTGGTGTTAATGCATCTCAAGGGAAAGCTCTGCTTCATTACACTGTAGCCGCTCTTGGGGGCGATACTCGGGCACAGATGGTAATGGGACATCGTCACTGGGCAGGATTGACGACAACACCATCCTGCGAGCGAGCGTTAGATTATTATCGAAAAGTGGCGAAGAAAGTTGCAGAAGAAGTGTCGCTCAGCGGTGGCCCGATCGTTCAGCGAGTCAGGTTATTGGACGAGTACGAAAATCCGGGGTACAATTCTGGCATCTTCGATCAGGACTTGATAGAATACTATCAGTTGTTGGCAAAAAAAGGTGACACTCAGGCACAAGTCGGACTCGGTCAGCTGCATTATCAAGGAGGTAGGGGAGTACCTTTGGATCACGAAAAAGCTGTACAATATTTCCAACATGCTGCTGATGCCGGCAATCCCGTAGCGATGGCTTTCCTTGGAAAGGTATGTATAACTATAAAGTGTATATACTATAAAGTAATAATACTATGATAAAACTGTTTCCAATAAGACTATTAGTTCGTTCAAAATAAATTACAATATTAATCTTAATGGAAAATATCCAATATAATTATAGCATACATGATCTCTTTTGACTCTTAATCTTCTAACTACTCATATATGTTTACAGATCTATTTAGAAGGGAGTGAAATTGTGAAGCAAGACAATGAAACAGCATATAAATATTTTAAAAAGGCAGCTGAACTGGGCAATCCAGTAGGTCAAAGTGGATTAGGCTTGATGTACTTATATGGAATGGGAGTAGAAAGAAATACAGGTAAAGCGTGGCAATATTTTCATCATGCTGCAGAACAAGGCTGGGTCGATGGACAATTGCAATTAGGCAATATGTATTTCAGTGCGTATTCACATATTTATATATCTATGTTCTATTAACATCTATTATGCATTGCAATTCGCATTGCATCTTGTACATACTTTTAATTCGTTTTTCATTTTAATTAATCATTTTAACTAATTAACTGCTGATTTTTAAATAAATAGTATTAAATTCATTTTTCAGGTGGTATCGGTGTTAAACAAGATTACAAAATGGCAAATAAATATTTTAATTTAGCCAGCCAATCGGGTCATGTGCTAGCATACTATAATCTCGCTCAGATGCATGCTAGTGGCACCGGCATGGTGAGAAGTTGTCCCCCGGCTGTGGAATTAATGAAAAATGTCGCCGAAAGGGGAAAATGGAGCGATCAGTTAATGGTGGCGCACACTGATTACAGAGAAGGCAGGGTGAATGAAGCATTTCTAAATTATGCCTTATTCTCTGAGATGGGTTACGAGGTCGCGCAAAGTAACGCGGCATTTATCTTGGACAAAGAAGAGACCGATGTTCTGTCGGAAGAGGAAGGCTTAGTCCGGGCTTTAGCGTTATGGACGCGAGCCGCCGCGCAAGGATACTCAGCGGCACAAGTATGAATATCAATATTTTTTACCGATAAGAAGATGCAGAGTTGGGAGATTATTTTTTCAAAATAATTCGTTATTTATTACTTATTTGAAAAAAAATCAATACCGTTATTATTACTCATTTTTGAAAGTAGCTAATTACAATAGGACCAAAAAAAATTTTTTGCAAATTATATATATAAACACACACACACACACACACACACACGAGTGTTTCCTCTAACTCGACCATTTAAAATATCTCCGTTGTTTTTGATGATACGGAAAAATACTATGGGGAAAACTTGTTCGATTGTTCGAATTAATTGAAGAGTTAATTGCTAAAAATTTTTTTTTGTGATTTCTATGTTATCATTATTCAGAAAATAACGAGTTGTTACGCTTTTCATTACTTTTTTCTTCAAGTTTTAAAAACTTATTTTTACAATTTGCTGCTGCTTATCTAATGTATGTGTATTCTGCAAAATAACTAAAAAAGTAATAATAATGAAAAAATAACTAATAATTGCTAATGAAACAAAATAATGCTATTATTGAAAAAAGACAATTTATATCAGTCATTAATAACCTTGCAAAGATATATACAAACGAAATTCATATTTGTATTTCTTCATCAAACGTGAGCAATTTGTGTTTCGTTTTAGGTGAAACTTGGTGATGCGCATTATTATGGCAGAGGAACCAAAGTGGATTACGAGGCTGCTGCAGGTCACTATCGTTCAGCATCCGAGCAACAACACAACGCTCAAGCTATGTTCAATTTGGGTTATATGCACGAGCGCGGCCTAGGCTTAGCGAAGGATCGTCACTTGGCCAAGCGATGCTATGATTTGGCCGCGCAAGCCAGTCCCGACGCGCAAATACCAGTAACGCTAGCTCTTATTAAACTCTCCTTCCTCTTCAGCCTGGATTATCTACAAGAGTTCAGTTTGGTCGATCAGCTGGATAAGTGGGATCAGCTGCTCGGGCAAAACTGGGATCTTTATCTTATCGGATTTCTTACGGGAATGCTTAGTCTTATTATATACTTCCGCAGACCGCAGCCACCTCCCCCACCGAGACCTCCTGTTAACTAAATTTTGTACCTTTACCGATTATTTCATATATATATATACATATATACATAAATTTTCCTAGGCTAAGCTTGGAAAGAATTTTATAAGAGATTCGTATACCGGGAAATCATTTTTGATAACGTAATTCATCCTTCCCAAAGTAATGCAGGCTGTATAATCTCGAGTTCGATATTGTTTTGAGCACGTTTAATGTATCGTGAATACTTTACTTTTGACCAGTAATAATAAATTCATCGAGCATTGTGATGCCTCAGATGGCATACGCAACCGGTAAATATTGTGTTTACTACACTATATTACCATTTTCTCATACGCTTATTTAATTATTATCACATACATAGGCTCTGAGCTTAGTTCCTAGTTTGTAAAGTTCCATTATTATGCTCAATGTATGACATGTTTGTCGAGATATCGTCTACAAATGAACTTATTAATGACTGGTTTATCGCAAATTTTAGATCCCTCTTGTTCGCAAAGTAATATGAAAAATGCAAGTCAATTTCGTTCACAATTCCACATGATTTTTATATAGGAATGCAAATTTAAGCTGCCCTTGCAGCGATATTTTATGATTAGTTTTTGCAGATAAAGACGATTGTATACATATGTAGTTTTTTCAGTGGCATATTTTTAACTATGTTAAACTACACATAATATACATTAAGATATTATAAGATTTCTGTAATATAAAGTAAGAATTAAAAAGGTTATTGATTATTTATCTAATAAAATTGTTTTATTGCCAAAGAATGTTACGATTTTGATATTATCGTGACACGCATGGTATTATCGTGGCTGTGGAAACGATTGTGAATATATGCAGATAATCCGACTTGTAAATTGTGTAAACCAGATATAAACATTATTAGCGAATCGAAAGCAATATCACTTTAGAATACCCTGTATATATGTGCAAATACTTATTGCGTTTATTTGTTATTTTTCGTTAATTATTTGCTGCGTTACTGATATTATCAATAAGTACTATGTAAGAATTAATGTGCTATTTCAATCGATATTATGTTAATTATTATATTGAAATTTATTTATGCACCTCGTACTCGTGTACCTGTATCTTTCACATGAGAGACGCTATAAATATTTATATTAGTTCTCAGGGAATAAAACAACAAAGGAATGAAAGATTGGCTTTAATAATAAGAGCTGTTATTGGGTGCAATAATATAATTTAACAGAGAGAGAATAAAATTATTTTCGATTGTGTGTGACAGTGTAAAATATACGCGTACATTTTGTTGTGATATATATGATTTGTTATCTTTGCCATGGCAACGAAGATGGGCATACGAGTCCGATGCTACATTGACGTTTAGTATCAGCAAGACAATGCAGTAACTTCCATTATATTTACAAGGATTTCCGACTTGATCATGAAATTTTATCTCGACGACGTGTTTTAAAACAAAGCCGTGAAAACAAAAAAGATAACAATTTGGCGTCTCATGTATAATCGATAACGAAGTAAATAACAATATCAAGATGTTAAAAAAGAAGAAAGGTGGGGGTGAGAAAGTACGGAAAAAGTGTGTAAACGAGAGAGAAACGGTATCCTACGAACAACAAATCCTAGACTACAATAAACAATTGTCACGGTTCGTTTATGAAAAGATCGATAATGACACTCGCGAAATTTTCTTCTGTTTTTCGTACAAGGCTTAATTTTCTTCCGCGCAACTCTGTTTCAAGACTACGCAGTCGAAATGAAGAACTGGAAAACGAGGTGAAGGTCATAACGAAAAAATTTGAACAGCTGAAAGAGGATCGATCCGACGTCGTGGCGCATTTGAAGCGTAACTTGGAAGAGAAGACGGAAGAGGCGCGAGAGTTGAACGAACGTTTGTCGGCTTTGGAGGAATTACGAAAGCAGGAGCAAGCTGAAGCTAAAGAGAAAGAGAGTGCAATGGAACTCGAGTATCGCACTATGGAGAATACTTTAACCGCCGAAGTAAAACTCGCCGGTAACATATCGTGTTACAATTGTAGTCAGTGGAAGAAAGTTTGCAACATTTTTTTTGTTTGGAAAAGTTGCTTTTAAAAAATAAGATAAAAATACCAATCCCCCCTTCCTCGGACACATACCAATCCGAAGCATTCTTATTGTTTTGGCCTTTAAATACGAATATTTAAACTTTCAACATAGAATGTATGTATACTATACTTAATATTTGTATATATATTTTATGTTGAAAGTTTAATCTATATTTAAAGACTACAATAACAATGTCTAGGATTAGACATATGTCCGAATAATAGTACTTTTATCTTAACTTTCCAGATATCACAGAGAATTCAAAAAGAATTCAATCGTATGTTACCAAAATTCTGAGTTCATTTTCAGATGCAAAAAGAATTCTTCAGAGTTTAGTTTAGTGAAAAGAATTCTTTTTGCACCCAAAATGAACTCAGAATTGGTGATATATGACTGAATTCTTTTTGAATTTTCTGTGCTATCTGAATTGTTATCGTTATTCGTTACTCACTGAAAAAATTAACTGGTTATCGCTATTCAAAAAATAACGAATCGTTATAATTTTCATTACTTTTCTCACCAAATAGACCTTTTTTTTAATGATTCTCTTCTGCCCATTTTTTCATAGTATAGTCAGTGGCACAAGACATGCACAGTCGAGAGCAAAACTATTTGAAACATTTTTTTTTCCAATGAAGTTACAGCGCTCCGAGTTATCATAATTGCGAACAATTGCTGACGAATTTGCGCAATAATTGGTCAATAACAAGAGATAATCAATCACTGCACAAATTCGTCAGCGATTGCTTGCAATTTAGAACACTGCAACTTCACTGGGAAAAAAGTGTTCAAACCGTTTTGCTCTCGACTATATACTGTTTTTCTTAAAAAACAGAATCTTTTTCAAAATTATCAACACTGTCTTAATGCACATTATAAGCACTAAAATGCGTTTACCTAGTCCGACGTCCAGTTCCTCAGCAATGTTACATGTAACAGAATATCACTGTTATACAACACGTATATTATATAACAATTACATTATTGAGTAAGAAATTATAACTAACAAGTATGTTATATGTAACATTGTGTTTACTGGCTCCATTATTGACTATGCTTCAGCAACGTCGAGACATGCTCTCAATGATCAATTATGAGATTTTCCGCTAATGTTCTCGGGTAACGAAGCTGATACAACCGTTTCAAGATGAAAACTCTTTTTTCTAAAGATTTATCTTCATGATTATCTATATATTTTTAATGGGATTAGCGTCGGGAGACTGTGAGAGTCAATTCATTGTAATCCTAGTAAACGTCAAGTAACAGTAACATCATAATGCGTGTATTATATAACAATTATATTGTTGAGTAGGAAATTGTAATATTGATGTTATGATACTGTTACTTGGTGTTACTTTGGGAAGATACTATTTTCACACGTTTCCATTCCAGAAAACTTCGTTGAAAACATGCCTCAATGCTGCTAAAACATATTTAACAATGTAGGGGACTAGATATTGTACTAGATAAACATGTTTTAATGCATATATTTGTAAATTAAGACTACCCAGCACACACACACACACACACACAGAGAGAGAGAGAGAGAGAGAGAGAGAGAGAGAGAGAGTGAAATAACTAACAAAAATTTTAAGGCTAATGAGGAGTGAACATGCATGTAGTAGTTATCTTAATATTATAAACGTGTAATATTAAGATAATACTACTACATCCGTGTTCGCTCTTCATTAACCTTAGAATCTTTGTTAGTTATTTGAATAATATAAAGAAGCTTCATATATAATTTAGAAAAAGAGAGAGAATATAATTATTATACATGGTTGGGTAGTAACTAGTTAAAAAGTTAAAAGTTAACTTAAAAAGTTAAAAAGTTAAATAGCTTTAACTTAATTTAGTTACATTTTTACACTCTTATCTTTTAACTTAGTTATATTTTATCGGTAACTATTAATTTTTAATTCAATTATTTTGAAGTTAACCATGCCATAAAGGTGATGTCGCGAAAGGCTGTTCAGTGCAGGAGGGCTTATTTTCGACAATCTTCGAGGAAAAATGTCCGATAAAATTTTACAAAAAAACTTTATTACTTAAATTTAACAAGTATCTGTAAATAAAACATGTCTCCAAATAAAATGTATATTTGTTTTTCCGTTATTTGTAAAACTGAAATCCTGAAGTCATAAAATGAAACAAATTTAACTTTTAACTTTTTAATTACTTTTTTTATTAACTTAACTTTTAATTCAATTAATTTCATTATGGGTTAACTTTATCTTAACTAACAAGGAACATTCGCGAAGTGTGTCTCCGATTTCGATGAAACTTGGCATATTTATAGAGTGGCCAAAAATAAGAGACCCATATCTTTTTTATCGGCAATGGCGCAGGTTTAAGGGATGAAACTACCCCTCAAAGTTTCAAACAAAAGTTATGCGGTTTTTTATAAAAAATAAAATGGGCTAAAAAGTTTTTCTCTATCTCCAATAATTACGGAGATAGCAAAAAAGGCATGAAACTTTGAGGGGTAGTTTCATCTCTTAAACCTAAGCCATTGCCGATAAAAAATATATGGGTCTCTTATTTTTGGCCATTCTATAAATATGCCAAGTTTCATCGAAATCGGAAACACACACTTCGCGAATGTTCCTTGTAAGTTAAATTTTTAAAGCCATTAACTTTAACTTAACTTAGTTAAAAAAAGAAGTTAACTTACCCAATCTTGCTATTGTATAACATAGAAGTAATATGTGATATAACTGCTGTTATACATTATTAATATATAATATAACTGCTGTTATACGTTATTAATATTGAGGTTACTTAATTTCCTTTTATAACAGTAATATAACTGTGTTTTAAAACTGTAATATTACTTTGTTATGTACTGGTTATAACAGTATGACAGCAACACAACTTAAATATAAAATGTTATATAATAAGTATAGTATTCGCGTTATGTTTATGTTATATAACATTTTTATGTGCAAATGTCAGATCGTCCTTAAGATGACGTCTATTTCTCGTATATTAACATGATGCGTTAACGCATATAAGAATGTTGATCACGGTATACGACAAAACTTGTATTATGATAATCACTCTTATAATAAAGTAGCACACTTTTTGATTCATGATTATTACTTTCATTAATAATAATCGCTCTCACCGAAATATCATGTATAGTCATAGGAGTGAATAAATATTAATAGCTAATCAATTAAAAATGGCAAAATATTTTTATATTATTATACTCCTGCTAAAAATAACCCGGGAAAAAAGTTCATATATAATCATATAAAAATATATATGATTTTTTGTATATAATTATATATGAATTTTTTTGTTTTTATATATATATATGACCTTATATATTAACATATTTAATTATATGTATCCATACATAAAACAAATACTGTTGAATAAAAAAAGAAAAACATAATTTAATTAAATTACGTATATAAATTATATAAATATATATATAATATATATATATATATATATATATATATATATATATATAATCTTTTAATAACATGTTACTTACACGTTATATTAACCTTACATAACTGTGATTTATAGGAAATTATTACTGACGTATATAAAATCTAATGCATTTGTTTTATATTATGTGTTACATTTCGTTACATTATTTTACGTTATTTGGAACATTATGAAACCTTTATATCTATATGAATTTATTGCACATGCGCAATAAATTAATTTTATAGATGTTCTAAGAATATTTTTTTCTATTATAAATATATAATAGAATTTCTGTATGTATTATTGTAAATATAATCATAGAATATCAAATTCAGATATTCTGGAATTAAGAACATTCGTATTTCATAAGATTATATTCATAACATTTTTTATGCTATCTGGGGCGTTACTTCCCAACATTATTGTTTTTACGATAATACTGCGATTCTAAACAGAATCGTAAGATTCGTAACTTGCTCGTAAGAACTTGTGAGTAAACCTACAATTCTATACGTCATATATCATATGATCATTCATACGATCATATATCATATGATCATTCGTAAATATCTACGATTTCACGTAACTTACAATATCTATAAGTAATCATAACATTTATAACATATGATACGCAAAATAGATAAATACATAGAATTGTATCTACTCATAAGTTCTTACGAATTTTATGAGAACAAAAAAGTTATGAGGCTTACGATTCTGTCTAGAATTGCAGCGTAAGTTTTGCAACATATCCGTATCCAACAGGAGAATTTGTTTTTTCGTAATTCTCAGAAGATAAATTTTTCTATTGAATATTGAGTGCCTTCTGAATTGTATCAAAATAAAAGTGTTGCAACTTTCGTTTCACCGACTGTACATACGGTAGAAGTATGAATAAACACACAGGAAACAAAGCGTTATGCATCATTTTACATTTTACATTAGCTGGCAAGCTGAACGCATTGGAAGATTGGAGATTAGCTCGTTTAGATCTGATGCATAAATTCGAGGCACAGGAAGAACGAATTGCGAAGCAAGAGGAATCGCACAAAACGGCACTCTACGAGACTGAGAAGTCTGTTATCATCACGAAAGCAAAGTAAAAATCTCTTTTTAATAACATGAACGTCGAAGTAACTTGAAAAAATCATTATTTTTTCCACAAAAAATTATTCCTTTAAATATCTTGGAAAGAGCAGGGAGGGTAATCTCACAACTGAAAATTCACCTAAAGTGATAGTGAAAATATTGTCATTCAGAATAGCAAGAGTGAATATTTCTAATTAACTAATAATTAGTTAATTCAAATTAAGTAATATTTGATTGACAACTTTTAATCCGTATATAATTATACATCTATGGTTGCTGAGAAATAGATAATTTATATTCCAATTACACAATATTTTAGCTATCGATGTATGTATATATATATACACATAGGGTGCAGCAAAAGTATCGGACCGGTAAAATATCTCGAAAAATATAAGTTTTACAGAAAATTGTTTCAGAAGTTATAGGGCTTAGGAAGATCTATTTAGTGATTTTAATACTTTGACTTTGGATGACGTCGCCAAGATCAAATCGAAGTCAACTTTGCTTTTTTAAATAGAAACATATATTTTTTATTACGGAATTTTATTATACGTAAAGAAACAAACAACTTTTATTTGAAAAAAATTTTTATACGATCTTCATTTTCTAAGATATTTACGGAAATATCTAAAAAATGATTGGTTTCAATAATTTTTTACTCGAATTCTATCAATTTTACCGAAAAATAGCAAGAGATAAAATTACCCATTTTTTTCTCATAGAGCTCTGAGAATTTTTTCAGTTTTTTTAAAACTTTTTAGTACTTCAAGAAAATGTAAGAAAATGCAGTACTAAAAAGTTAATTTAAAAATTCTGAAAAAATTCTCAAAGATCTATGAAAAGAAAATAAACAATTTTTATCTTTTGCTATTTTTCGGTAAAGTTGATAGAATTAGAGTATATATTCGATATATACTCGATATATCGATATATAGAGAATTATATATATATATATATATATATATATATATATATATATATATATATATATATATATAT